GCCGGAACGAAAAGCAGTCGTGGACCACCCAGAAGTGAAAACCGGTCGAACGCAGCGCTCACGCATCGCCACCGACTGAAGTCGGCGCCAAATAGATTCGAAACTTTTTCGCTCATTTGCTTTTTTCTGCAAACCTTCTCTTCTTCTTTTTCTTCTTCCTGTAAGGTGCTCTGTCAGGGCTCTACCTTATCACCACATGATCTCAAGAGTAATACATAGTGGTTTATACGCCGTAGAAGTCAGTTTGAACAAGCGAACTGTCTGATCACAGCCAAATTCCAGAATTTTGTCCACTTACTTTCACAAAACTTCTTTACTCTATCAAACCCTGCTTGCTCTTCAGAACGTATTGAGCAATTGAAATATCTGACAAAATAGAAGTGAATCTTGAATAATCGTTTGTGGTGAAGAGTTTTAGACAAACGGATAAAGCTCATCACTGTTTCAAAATTTATTTAATATGGGAGTATGGGGATTATGAATATCCGACTATTCAAGTAACTGAATATGGGAAATAATTGGAAATGAACTATTTGATTAGTCGAATGCGCTTGCCAAATTGACCTTTCGAATGTCGAATGTTTTGTTCACAATTTGCGGTCTCAACTATCCACTATCGTAACTATATACGAAAATACCGTGTATTCGTACGAACGAATATTAAACGTGGTTTAAACTGTATGCACCATTATCAATTCTTTTGAATATTCGCAAATTCGTGTAATCTAAAAATTCATGCTTTGAATATTCTACTATTTGAACAATTGCTACTTTCTCAAAATTGCAAACCATTCGAATTTTAGCTGAGCAGCCATTTTCGGGAGCTGATCTGTCAACACCCACCAAATTTTCAAGTCTGACACTCCTCAAAATTGAAACTTTTTTCTTGTTAGGAAGAGTGCTATACTTTGAAAAGTCGATCTCTTTTTGCTGCCTTAGGTTTATTCGCGACGTCCTCTTAAGTTGTCTCCTCAAGATTTGAGCTGTCATTATTCGACATATTGTGAGAACTGTCAAATTTTGAAAAAGTTTTGTTTCATGTTCAACAACGCAAAATCTTTTATTTAGACGTGCTGTAGCAGCAGAAAAGTGTTTTTTGA